TTCACAGAGAATGATTCGTTCACAGCGAAAGATTAGTCCACAGTGAAAGATTAGTTTGCAGAGTAATTGTATCGTAGTGAAAGATTAGTTTGCAGAGAGTAATTCGTTCGTAGTGAAAGATTAGTTCACAGTGAAAGATTAGTTCGCAGTGAGTGATTAGTTCGCAGAGTGTAATTAGTTAGCAGTGAGTGATTCGTGAGTTCAATATGAACAAATATTTAATATGACTCGGTAGTCACGAATCTTTCATCAGACTCGGGAGTCATATAAAAGATTCGTTCATTTTGAACAAATCACTCGCGAACGACACATCACTACGAAAAGATCCGGGTTATTAGAGACGTCGGACAGGTGTCTTCTGATTCATTACAAAGAATCGAATCATTAACACGGCTGATTCAGTAACCGCCCAGACCTCCACAAGGATAGACATAATCCAGTGCTTCTGACCATCACCCACAGCTGATTCGTTTTCTCCCGGGAGCCCTGACATGCAGCGTTAATGTTTCGGCTGGACATGTGCCTTCAGGACTCTGAGATGACATTAACGTGGAGAGTGAAGCTATTCCTTTTTATGTCGTTGTCAGTCTTCCACTGTCTGTTAATTGAAGGTAAGTGAGACATTGTTTTCTTTGTTGAATTAACGAGCCTTGTTGTGGTGAAGTGTAATTTAATCACATAAATAATATTTTAGTTATTATTTATCATTTAAGATGCAACTTTAAAAAAAAAACCCAAACTTTCGTGTGCAAGGACCAACTCAAAAGGAGAATCTAATGTATAAAAATGTTTTTTGTTACTCTTTTTCTTGCTGAGAATTATCATAAATACACAAGCAAGATATTTTGAAGGTGAAGTAACATACCAAACTCTGGATATTCTATATACTTTAATATAATTTATATATTTATTATTATTTATTTATAATTTATCATATAGGATATGACAGAGCGTCGACCAGTGTTTGCTTATATAAATTGTAACAAACATAAATCATAATATACAACTGCACGGTGATCAACGGTTATATGAACGTGTTCGATTCTTTTGAAACTTCTGATTCTTCTTTCAGGGGCTCGGAGCAGACTTTCATTGACAGAAAGGCGACTTCAGAGGTAAATCAAGTGAAAGGCAATAGCCGATTCTCTTTCGCAGTTTTAAAACAATGTTACATGTTTTTTTTTTTGTTGTTTTTTTCCCCCACATGACAAACACCAATGGATGTGGGGATGTGAACTTGTGCAGAGTCAGAGTTGAAATTTTTACAAAGTGCGCTCTGTTCCTTCGGACTGTTTCGACCCACTAATGTGCGTGTTTGTGTGTGCCTGCAGAGGGGTTAATGCACTTCGGAGGAAACGGGATCTCCTTGGGGAAGAGGTTGGTACACTATACCTAAGAGAACCAGAGGAGGTCAGGGCACCCACATGCGCAACACCCCAGGCGGCACAAAGCGGCCTTTGTGGAGGATGAGGATACACTTGCTCACACATAAACCTCCTCCCCTCGCACTCGGACTCATTTTAGATTACAACTGCAGGTGCACCGACGTCACGGAACCACTAATAGACCTAATTAAAGAACTCCTTGTGTTGTTTATTCTTTTTTTTTTTCTAAGACCTATGGACCGCTGCTGTCAGAGGGTACCCTTTCACGTACCATTTTACACAACTACACTTCCAGAGATTCTTCTTCAGGTAAATGAAAAAAAAAAAAAAAATGTTTGAAGTGATTCCAAGTGCAACCATTCCAGAGTAAAGTAAGCCTCCGTTTGTTCATGTTTCCCCCACCAAGAACACTGTGACTGCCTCAATGGTGGCTGGTGTCAAGAGGGTGGTTTGTGTGACTGCACTCAGTTTCAAGCACTGGGAGACCGCTGCCAGATCAGTGAGTACTGTAAATCGCATTCATGCACGCACGCAAACACACACACACACAGCACTGCAGTTCATCCTAGTACTTAGTTGAATATTTCATTTGAAATATTATATAATAATATATTATATAATAATAATATAATATGAGCGAAAGGAGAACCACGGAGTAGCGAGGCCGTACTGTAATTATATTAAGCCAGTTTTGTTTGTATTGCTATTATATCATACACAACTTAAACATGATGCACAAGTTAAATCAGTGGTAATCAAGTCCAGTTTATTTTATTTAAAGCAACCTTCCAAAGTCAAATAATTGCATTCACTGCATCACTCTGAACTTTTAATTCATGCCTTTATCACAACTTAAGACAACTGTAGTAATACAACGTACTCCATTTTGGGTTTGGCTAGAACAGTACTTCTCAAATAGTGGGGCAAGTTACTTGAAAATGAGTTGCAGGTTAAATCACTTCCTGTTTTCAATCCATTTTTAAACCACAGTTTTCACTGGCTTTTGACTTTTGAGATGTTTGAGACCGTTTAGGCTATGAGCCAAAGGTCAGAAAGTCTGCATTTGTGAAACTATTGGAGTGTACTGGTGGTCATAGGATGACAAACCTGCATACATAGTATGCACAGGCAGCATTGATTAGTTACAAAAATACTTATCCCACTGACAAGGTGGTTCCTTTTACCAAAATCTCAACAAACATTACAGATCTGTATCTAATTTGAAACGTATGCCGTGGTATTAAGAGGGAAAATCTGAACATTATGTAGGAATAGGAATTTTAAGCAGTATATCAACAATGTGCAAAACAAAATTGTCAGTTGCAGAATTATTGAGAATCACTAATACAATCCTTTTCTGAGCAAGGGCGAAGGGAAGAAAATGAAGTTGTGACACTTTCTCCTGCAAGGTTTTTTCAGAGCTATACAGGTATTCATTTGTAAAGTACTTGTTGCCTTACAAATAGAATTACAATTTTCAGTGAAAATACTAAATCTTCCCTCTTTAGGAAAGTGTGGAAACTATTTAAGAAATGAATTATTAAACATATATCAGTTATCCTAAAATGTTTTTAAATATACCAACCATGTTTAAACCCTGTTACAGTAATTCAAACCCAAATTCAAATTTCACTACAATTGTCACTTTCACTTTTAACATAGCTAAAAAAAAAGTTATTTTTGCTACCAGACTGTGTCAATCAATATTTGTAACCGCAAAGGTCTTACAGTAAAACAAAAATAGGATCTGTACGTGACTACAGGAGCTGTAACTTACAATATCAAGTGCGTGCACATGGATATGTAGCCTTTCCTCCAAGTCATTCAGCAGAAATTAATTACCTGCACACACTGTGGTGGTTATGAGATTTACTCAGATTTCACTTTCCTTTTTTTTTTTTCATGCAGTACTCATAAGGCAAAAAACTTCATGGAGTCAGTACGAAGATTGGAATCTCGGAATGTGCGATCCAAACAAATGATTGAAATGTTGAAAAGTTTCTCATTGAAGAAAATATATTTGTTTGTGATGAAACTAATGTTAGCTTTAATATACGTCGTCTGCACGAACCATAAGTTTGGTTTTGGACAAATGTTTCCTTGTTTAACTTTTCTGCTCCGTTCCTTCTTAGTACCAAACCAGGGCCAGGACAGAGATGGAATTTGCAGATCATGGGGTCAACACCACTATGAAACGTTTGATGGAATATACTTCTACTTTCCTGGGACCTGCTCATACATTCTGGCTCAGGACTGTCATTCATCTACACCTCAGTACACTGTGTGGGTAAGAGCGTCAAATAGGGTCTTTTCTTGCTTTTTGAAAACAAACAAAACCACTGAAATAAACAGCATCTCTGTGTTAGAGAACAATAGTTGTTACTCATTTATTATCATAAATAAAAAAAAATGTTAACCTTAAAAAGGTGTTTTTAATGTACCAAAATATTGAAAATAGGCCTTACATGAATGGTAACGCCTGGATTTTTCCTGTTTGCTCTTTGTGTGTTTTTTTATTTATTTTTTTTATTTTAGTTTTTACTGCTGTTCCAAGATTTCTGCCACCTGCTGGCAATATTTGACACTCATTATTAAATAACTGCACGGTATTAATCGCTTTTGTGATACAGTAACACAGGGATATGGTTTAATAGTAATTGGGAAGTGAAATTTAGGAATGAAGGACACAAGGATTGTTTTTAAAAAAAAAATAGAAGAACATACAGTTTTACACATTTTACTAAAAGTCTAAAAGAATGGTCAGTGTCACTGGCAATGAACACTTTCCTTTGATTGTCCACTAATGTTTGTCTCAACATCTCAGGTCCACAATAGCAGAGTGTGCGACGGGAGCGTATATTCCTGCGCAAGGGCTCTCAGTCTGTTCTTCCCAAATGAGGAAGAGATTTACATATCTGGATATCAAGTCCACCAGGGAGGCCGCAGGTATGAGTGTGTGTATTCATTGTTGTTACCTTTATGGATAGGTTATATATGTTTTTCTTGTTCTTCATTATGTTTGTTGTTTTTTTTTTTTTTTTTTTTTTTTTTTTTTTTTTTTTTTTTTTTTTTTTTTTTTTTTTTTTTTTGGCTGAAGCGACTTCCAGTCCAGAAACTACGATAACTTATAATGTATAATCTCACAGTAGTTCCTGAAGTTAAAATACCTCCAGCTAGTTGACCTGGTCAACTTGTTGACCTACTGAAATGAACTAACATGTAGGTAACGAGACACTGAACCTGATTAGGATTACAAATAACACTCTGGTTCAGGAAAAACCCGTTGAAAAGCCGTTTTGAGCATTGGGTCGCTGACTCGTGTTTTAAGGTACAAGTACCGTAATTTCTGGTTAGCTATAAGCTGCTACTTTTTCACACACTTTGAACCTTGGCGGCTTAAACAATAATGCGGCTAATTTATTTGATTTATTTTTTCCGGGCTAACGAAGTTCATACCGCTAGAGATCAACGACTTGGTAGGCTAATAAAGACCCCCAACTTCACCTGTTTCGGTTTAGCTCTGCTGCGGACAAGCACAAAGTGAAGGGAGTTAGCCCCGGAGCTAATGCTAGCCTCTCCCATGTGTATTCCAACTACGGTCGGGGCGCCAAAGCCGGAAAGAGCTAACGTGTAACCAGCCGTGTCGCAGGCACTGTTAGGAAAAAAGCATTTATTTAATTAATATAAATAAGTAAATATCCCATGTTATAATGTAGACACTTTTGGCTAATAGAGAAGCGGCCTATATATTTTTAAATTTAGTGGATGCGGCTTATATTCAGGTGCGCTCAATAGTCCGGAAATTACAGTAGTTGAATTGAAGTTGACTTGGGTGCATTCCTATTTGTGCCAGGAGGGGAATCTAGCATATGATCCGTTCCAAATTAGAAAGCAAATGATTAATTAACAATTGTACCATTAACAAAACAGCTATTTACCTAATGTCTCTTCTTCATTTGCACTTGTCTCTGTGAGGCAGGCTAATTCTGCCGCAGACTATTGGCAGCGTCTTCATTGAACGACTTGCTGATTACCTCCTGGTGAAGAGCGCTTTCGGCTTCTCCCTGGCCTGGGATGGCGGTTCTGGTGTCTATCTGAAGATGAGTGAAGAGCACCAGGATTCTTCATGCGGCCTATGTGGAAATTTCAACCATTTTGCTGGTGATGACCTCCTCACTGCACGTGGTAAGACCAGTGCCCTTGATTGTCGTTTTTTCAACTCTCAGCAGCCACACATGGGTAATTTTTTTTTTGCACTGACTGTGACCTATTATTGTTTCAAGTAAGCTGAGAGGTATGCAGTAATTTGAAGACCAAATCAGTCAGAGGTCCAACAGCTGTTGGCAGTTCACAGCTATAAAGTTCTTATTATCTTAAAACATAGAAGGTGATTTTAAAAAAATGTAACCAGATTGTAATATTTGACACAGTAAGCAAAGTTTTTCAACAAAATCATTTTTGGTTGATGAATCATATAATACCAGAGGTGGGACCAAGTCATTGCTTTGCAAGTCACAAGTAAGTCTCAAGTCTTTGCACTCAAGTCCGAGTCGAGTCTCAAGTCAAGACAGGCAAAGTCCAAGTCGAGTCCAAGTCAGATCAATTTGAACAAGTCACAAGTAAGTCTCAAGTCTTTGCGCTCAAGTCCGAGTCGAGTCTCAAGTCAAGACAGGCAAAGTCCGAGTCGAGTCCAAGTCAGAACTGAAAAGCGTCAAGTCAAGTCCCAAGTCCTTACGTTTCTGTTTCGAGTCCTTTTAAATAAAATAATAATATATTTACACACATCACTTTGGGTTTTGGAGAAAGTATCAAGTCTTGTCGAGTCAAAGGGCCCGAGTCCAAGTGAAGTCACGAGTCATTGATGTTAAAGTCCAAGTTGAGTTGCAAGTCTCTTTACATTTTGTCAAGTCGAGTCTAAAGTCATCAAATTGATGACTCGAGTCTGACTATAGCCGCTTATCCATTACGGGGTCGCGAAAAAATAGAACAAAGAAACATGATCATTTTACAAAACTATGTCTCATCAAATATATGTCAATATGCTGTATATAGGTGTACTGTAATCAGTATATACTTCGTAGAAGCCAAGAAGATTTATTACAGGAAGGTCTTAGAAGAAAATGACGTCAGCTAATCCGTGGAAAAACAACTGATTTTGGGTATTAAACTTTTAGTAAATGAATTGTTCACAAAAGTATAATAACGTATGTTAATCAATCTGTATATATTTATTTAATGACATTTTAGAATAGGCTAAACCCAATGCCATTTTTTAGCTAGATAGAGAGCAAGAAAGGAAGATCGATAGATAAATAGAACTTTATTAATCCTTTGGTAGTTCCCTTCGGGAAATTAAGGTTATTTTAAATTTGATATTTTCTCATAAATATTGTTTTATTAACATGACAACCTATCAGAGGTGTGGACTCGAGTCACATGACTTGGACTCGAGTCAGATTCGAGTCATCAATTTGAACGACTTTAGACTCGACTTGACAAAATGTAAAGAGACTTGCAACTCGACTTGGACTTTAACATCAATGACTCGTGACTTCACTTGGACTCGAGCCCTTCGACTCGACAAGACTTGATGCTTTCTCCCAAAACCCAAAGTGATCTGTGTAAATATATTATTATTTTTAAAAGGACTCAAGACAGAAACGTAAGGACTTGGGACTTGACTTGACACTTTTTAAGTCTTGACTTGGACTCGACTCGGACTTTGCCTGTCTTGACTTGAGACTTGACTCGGACTTGAGTGCAAAGACTTGAGACTTACTTGTGACTTGCAAAGCAAGGACTTGGTCCCACCTCTGCGACCTGTTGTGTTTAAGGTATACCTACGGATGAGCCTGCAGTGTTTGCTAACAGCTGGGCAGTGGATTTGCCTCACGAGAGGGCCTGTCCTTCAGTAGATCTTGACTTCACTGGGCCCTGCCAGTCTGAGTCAGACATAAATGTAAGAACCAAAGAAATTCCATTCCATAACAATGAACACAACCCAACCCTAGATGGATGATAATGAATGAAAGAACAAATGCTGTTCATTTTGTTTTTGTTTTTTTTTTAATTAGAAGAAAGTCATTTTTTTTATTTCAAAAGTAAAAATGCAATTACTTGTCACTTTTGGTTTGGTTTGCTCGACTTTTGTTCTTGTACAATGTCATGCGCACATACATAACAACTATATTGTATTTGTGCGCAGGATGCCATAGAGAAATGTAGCGCTCTTCTCTTTTTCCCATTCTTGTCGTGCCACGAAAACATCGACCCAAATCCTTTCGTAGCCAGCTGCATATCTGACCTCTGCATGTGAGTTGAAGAAGCACACAGTGATCATTGGGTTCTTATTTTTTTTATTATTATTATTATAGAAAAAAATGACAAAAAAAAAAAAACGTCTTTTTTCCCCAGTTCGGATGATGAAGAAACATTCTGTCGAGCCTTAGTTGAGTACACCCGAGCGTGTTCACATGTTGGATACCCAGTGAGAGAGTGGAGGGATAGCTTCCCTTCTTGTAGTAAGTTACTCCGTTACCTTGTGCTCTTTTGAACTTGTGGGTTTGTAAAGTAAAACGCTGTCGACGACGTCTGTCCAAATTATAAATGAAAGCATAAAAAAAAAATGTATGCCCTAACGAAGGAAATCCACTATAAAAACTGCTTCTGGTTTTGAAGATTCATTTTCTGATGTGCCGAAAAATTAAATCCCTATTAACGATAGGGATTTAATTTCTACGCACACCCAGAAATTCGGCCTTAACCAGCGCTCTCTACGGACACCGACTCAAATCCTCATCTCATGAAATATTCAGCGTATCTCAGCGAATCAGCCAATCGATTTTAAGCATATCTGTGTCCAAATCTTGGTGACTGGACTTGGACCTTCACTTTCTTCATTGATTTTATTTTATTTGACATTTCTACAGCGTTTAACATACTTGTTTTAGTACTTACTTCGCTTACAGCTCAGCTGATATTTTAAATTCAAAAAAAAAAAAAATACAAAGAGCTCCTTGTAAGGGAACGAGACGTCAAATAGGTAATTTAATGACGTACCTGCCTGTAAATATAATTTGCATGATTGTTTTGGCACATATTTTACGCTGGTTCTATGTATTTGAAATTAAATCAAGCAGTAGCTGTGCTTCTGTTCTATACTTTTTGTCTGAAAGGTTCATGTTTTTTTTATTGTAGATGATGGCTGTGAGGACAGTTTTGTCTACAGAGACTGCATCAGTTGCTGTCCACCAACCTGTAGAACCAATTTGCACTGTCTGGATGGCTGCTACTGTCCTGACGGTACGTGAGGAGTGCGTTCAATACTGTACTTTGCTTTCTGTTTTTTCGGTAAAGGTGACCCGAAGGATCTGAATTCAGAACGTGTTTTCACAGGTCTTATCCTTCAGAATGGAACCTGCATCGCTGTCTCTCAGTGTCCATGTGTTTACCACGGAACGTCCTACATGCAAGGACACGAACTTCACCAAGGGTGCAGTGTTTGGTGAGTACATATTTCTCATATGTGACACATCTTTATTAAGTAAGATGGGCTGCGAATATTTAAACCCCTTTTTTTTTTTTTTTCTTTATTTAGTGTGTGCTTCGGGGGAGTGTGGAACTGCACTGAAAACAATTGCACAGGTAGGACTGTTACCGTAAGGTGACTGAAGCGGAATTACTAAGGATTGTTAAAGAATAGACAAGTTGAGTTTAATGCTATTAATATTATAGTGCACTGACGTGACACACGGAAACACAGGTAGAGATACTTTTAGTACAACACAACCTAACTATGAAAAAACAAAACCAAAAAAAAAAAACGCATGTAATTACAGTCCAATACACAAAGCAAAGGGTGGATGCACATGGAAAAAATATAAACATGTCATAAAACAGAAACTCTAAAAATAGCAGGGACACCCAGACTTCCCTCTCCCTCGACACTTCCTCCAGCTCTTCTGGGGGGGGGGCGTTCCGAGGCGT